TTTTGTGCACCGGGCCTCTAGTAAAAGCATAATATGCTAATTAGACTGGACAGCCAAACAACCTTCCAGATGAAGCCAGGACTGCGAGGGCTGAGCCCCTTGCATGAATTTTGTGCATTGGGCCTCTAGTTTCTAAATAAACAACTAGGTAGTAATATCATGCCAACTATTCCACAGCTGTAAATACAAATTTATTTTAAGGCATCTGATTACAATGCCTTTCTGTGGATCATACCCACAGTCCCCCACAAAGGAAATAGTCAGTTGAGAATATAGATCTAGATTTAGGGAGAAAGTAAGTAAAATGTTTTGGTCTCACTCCACAGTGAGAGACTATATCTTCCTAAAATGTATAAATCAGAAATTGTAATTAATTGAGGTTCTTCTATACTGGGGGCACTATAGACTTCATCTTGGCCAATATAAGAATGCAATAGTCCCCTTGCCCAATATCACTTGCTAATGCATGCAACTACTTGGGAGACACAGAGGAGTGCATTTTTCTCAGAGGTGAGAATATTATAGCAAAACTTTTATTTCTTGATTAATATTAAAAATAAAAGGAGAGGTCAAGGTAGAAAAAAAACAAAACAGTAGATTTTCCCCAAGGCATAGAGAAAATATTCTAATTGCTTTGGGGACTAGTTGAAATTATGCTCTGTTAATGGATCAAGAAATATATACAAATTTGTTATAATCACATATCATTAAGGGGTTCCTTTACAGCAGTGGTTCTCAACCTGTGGGTCGCGACTCCTTTGGGAGTCGAACGACCATTTCACAGGGGTCACCTAAGACCATCGGAAAACACATATATAATTACATATTGTTTTGTGATTAATCACTATGCTTTAACTATATTCAATTTGTAACAATGAAAATACATCCTGCATATGAGATATTTACATTATGATTCATAACAGTAGCAAAATTACAGTTATGAAGTAGCAACAAAAATAATTTTATGGTTGGGGGTCACCACAACATGAGGAACTGTATTAAAGGGTAGTGGCATTAGGAAGGTTGAGAACCACTGCTCTAGAGCTTTCTAAAAAATATTTCAAATATCCTATATAACAAAGAGCTAATATGCAAATGGTCATTATACACTCCTGCCCTCATGCCCTCGTGCCCTCACACCCTTGCGCCAGGACTGGGGAACCTGAGGCTGGGCCGGGGGAGCTAAGGCTTCACCCCCCACACACACACTGGCACTGGGGCCAAGGGGCCAGAGGCCAGGCTGGGAAACCTGAGGCCGCACCACCCCACCCCAGCACTGGGCTGGGGGACCTGAGGCTGTGCCCCCCGCCTGCGGGGCTTGACGGGGTAGAGCCAGCCAGGTCTGGGTCTCGCACAATTTCGAGGCACATGTGGGTGGGTGGGGACTTGACCCTGGGTCCCACAGTGCGCCCCAGAATCTGGCAGGAGGGAGATTTATATATACATCTTACTAATTTTCTTTCATAGCTGACACTTGTATTATAGAGAAAGGGCAAATAGCAATACTAACATATTTCCTCTAATTAATTCCCTTTAATGTGCATAAATTTCAAGCACCAGGCCACTAGTATGTATATAAAAATAGAATCTATTTCATGTCCTTCATACTAAAATTTACATACGCTAACATTTAAACTATGTAGTAAATGGTGAATCCTGTAGTCTAAAACCAAGGCAATAAAGGTTAAAAAGGAAAGCTTGCCAAGTCTTACTAATAGTTTAAGTAGTGTCTTATCCTCAACATTCTTTTTCTGTGCAGAATTTGCTACCCCACCTAGTCCCTCTCAGTTCAAGAAAACCTAGCGTCTTGAAAAAATTATTAAAGTCCAAAATAAATAGCAACATAATAAATAATACAGTTAAACAAGAGATAAGAGCAAAACAATCACTTGTAAGTCATGCAAATTAGGATTTAATGGCTGGATAATCTCTAATGGAGACACAAGAAAAGCTGCTGTGTGTTTGTGACAGTGTAGCTATGGCACCAGTCTTAGAATAAACACCCATGGTAGAGCACCCCTACTCCCGCTTGCCTTTCAGGCATGTCGGTTGAGGCTCATCAGAATTAGCAGCATATGCAATCCCCACTTCCTGCCACACAGGAGTCTCACCTGTGGCATTCCAGGTACAGCTACCATTAAATCCTTTATGGGAAGATGTTATTTGCAAAAAGTAGCTTTTGTGCCTGTCACCATGATGAGTCTCTCTTTATAAAGTTTTTCTTTTAAGCCCCCTAATTTATTTCTCTCATTTTATCTCCTAAATATGCTCCTTTTCTTGGTATTTTCTCAAATAGCTTAGTAAGATATCCAAGATATAGTGAAAACAGCAGTACAGTTTGGAGGAAGAAAAATGCTTATAAAATGAGGGAAATGAATCTTAATTCAGAACAAATACTTTAACCAATATTTACATTAATTTTATAAATTATTATTTTAAATAAAATCAATTTAATATAAATTTATGCCTCATTTTAAGCCTGAAATACTGTTTTGTACATGCACATCAAATAAATACAACAGGTGAGGCAATATATTAGAATCAGCTTTCCTTCAGCAGAGACAATGACCTTTATTCTTACACATAAACTTCCCAATACTGGCTATGAGAAATCTGCAATATCACAAGGAATCACTTATTCTATCTCATTGCTACTAAATGAACAAACATAGGTTTTAAAATAGAATTGGATTCAATTATGCAAAGGCTATGAAATGACTTCAAAGTTCTCTTAATTTGATGTTACACTAAATAGACACCAAAAGGGTTCAATATTTCAGTTATGATTCCTCAGTTGAAAACATCAAGTTATCAGACTCAATTCATTGAAGAATTTTTAACTTACCCTAGTAGGCTGTGTAGTCTTCTGCTTAGAACCTGCAAAAATTAGAAAGTAAAAAAATAAATTTAATAAATGAAAGAAATTAAGACTATACTGGTACAGTGTTAAATTTTAAGATAAAATATTGAGAGGTGGTTTCCAAAATGGTGGTGGTATAAGTGGAAGCTACACTAACACTCTCCAAGGACCAAACTGGAATTACAACTAAAATACAGATAAACCATCTTGAATAATCAACTGAAGTCTAGCTGGAGAAAACATTGATAGCCAAGAATGGAAAGTGGAGACCACATAGAGACTGGTAGGAAGTACAGAGGAGCTAAAGGGTTGGTCAGGCTCCCAGCAGCTGAAGTTCTGGAGGCATATCTCAGATGTGGGGGGTTCTCACTGAGAACCCTGGGGTCTAAACCCCAAGCTGGGACCCCCAGCCCAGAGCATCAGAACTGAGAAGGGTACCCACATAACATCTGGCTATGAGACGCACCAGAGTTTCTGTCTGCCAGTAAGAGATGGCTGGAAATGCAGGCACCCTCTTAAAAGGCTAATGCACAAAATTTTATGTGCAGCCAATCAGCTTGGGATCCAGCAGAGGGAGGGCAGAGTGGACTAGAGCTGTGTGAAGAGAATTCAGGATTGAGTATTCTGGGGTTAGAGTTCAGAAGACAGCAACCACAGTTTCCTGTGATGAATCATTCCCTCACGCTCTAGTGAGCATCTTTCTGGAGCAGACCTTTACCATCCAGGCAGTTTTTTCCTGAGGGTGGGGGAGCAATTGAATTGCTGGAAAACTTCTCATCCCACTTGGTGCTCAATAGCATGAGGCAAATCAAGACTGAATTTCAATCACACTGCAGGCAGAGGAAGATCTCTGGAGGCTTTGAGTCTTTCCCTGTTCTCCTCCTGAGTCTGGGGCTAGGAAATCAGATCCTGGTGCACATCTTGGTAATTTCCAAAGACATCCAGACCCAGCAAAGGGAGCCACATGCTATGGGTTACTCATAGTTCCAAACAGGATATTCAGGGCCAGTCACAAACAGCATCTGAAATTGTCCTGCACTAAAGATTGGGACTCGTAGCAGACCTCCCTAAATCAAAGACACAAACCCAAACAGGCAGCTAAACTGGGGAGACAAAAAACAAGCCCCAACTGAAAGAATAAGAAAATTCTTCAGAAAAAGAGCTAAATAAAATTGAGATGAGAAATTTATCAGATATAGAGTTCAGAATAATGATGGCAAGGATGCTCAACAGCATGAGAAAAGACATAGTAACTATGAAGAAAGACCAGTTGGAAATCAAGAATGAGATGGCACTAATAAATAATGCAGTGGAAATAACACACAGCAGATAAGGGGAAGCCAAGGATCAGATCAGTGAAGTAGAAAACAGGATGGAAAAATTCACTTAATCAGAGAACCAAAAAGAAAAATCAATTAAAGAACAGGAGGACAGCTTAACAATATTCACATCAGAGGAGTACCAGGAAGTGAAGAAAGTGAGCAAAGGCTAGAGAAAGTGTTTGAATCAATAATGGCATAAAACTTCCCAAACCTGGTGAAGGAAAAAGTCACACAAGTTGAAGAAGCACAGATCTACCAAGCAAGAAGAACCCAAACAGATACACTCTCAGGCACATCATAATTAAAATGCCAAAAATTAAAGACAGAGAGACAATCTAAAAGGCAATAAGAGAAAAGCAATTTGTTACCTACAAAGGAACTCCCATTAGGCTGTCAGCTGATATTTCATCAGAAACTCTACAGGACAAAAGCAGAATGCCATGAAGTATCCAAGATAAGGAAAAACAAGATTCTGAAATAAAGATTACTATATCCAGCAAGACTATAACTGAAAATAGATAATGAAATAAAGAGATTCCCCAACAAAAAAAGGAATTTATCACCACCAAATCAGCACTGAAAGAAATGATAAGGGGAATGCTCTAATGAGAAGAAGAAATAGAAAGAGAGAAACAAAGACATAAGGAATTAAAATGGCAATAAATAGGTACCTATCTATAATAACCTTCAATATTAATGGATTAAATGCTGCAATCAAAAGACATGGGTAGCTGAATGGATACAAAAACATGAAAACATGATCCAATTATATGCTCTCTACAAGAGACCCACCTCAGAACAAAAGACTCACACAGAATGAGAGTGAAGGTATGGAAAAATATTTTTCATTCAAATGGAAATGAGAAAAAGCCAGGGTAGTAATACTCATGTCTGACAAATAGACATCAAAATGAAGGCCATCAAAAGGCACAGTAAAGGTCACTACCTAATACTAAAGGGATAAAGCCAATAAGAGGCTATAACCCTGGTAAACATATATCCACCCAATATAGGAGCACCGAAATATATAAAAACAAACTTCTGGAGTACTTTAAGGAAGAGATTGACAGTAATAAAACCATAGTAGGGAATTTTAACACCCAGCTAACTTGACTAGATAGATCTTTCAGACGAAAAATTAACACGGGAACAGTGACTCTAAATGATACACTGATCACATGGATTTAATTGATATTTATAAAACATTTACCCAAAGCTGCAGAATATACATTCCTCTTAAGTGCTCAGGGTTCATTCTCAAAGTTATACCATATATTAAGACACAAAACAAGTCTCTACAAGTTCAAGAAGACTGAATTCATATCAAGCATCTTCTCAGATCCTTATGGAATGAAATGGCTAAATAGAATGTTATTAAACAAATAGAGGCTCCATGCACAAAATTCATGCAAGAGTAGGCCTTCAAGGCCCAGGCTGGTCATTCCAGAAGGTCGTTTCAGGGACCGGTCTAATTAGCATATTAGCTCTTTATTATATAGGATGAATGTGTTACCAATGAGATCAAGAAAGAAATAAAAAAAATTCCTAGGAACAAATGAAAATGAACTCACAACAACTCCAAATCTCTGGGACACAGCAAAAGCAGTCCTGAGAGGAAAGTTCACAGCACTACAGGCATACCTCAAAAAACAAGAAAAACTTTTAATAAGTTATCTAACACTACAACTTAAAGAATTAGAAAGAGAACAGCAGAATAAGTAGATGGAAGGAAATAATAAAGATTAGAAGAAAAATAAATAACATAGAGGCTAAAAAAAAGCAATTCAAATGATCAATGAAACCAAGAGCTGGTTCCTTAAAAAGATACACAAGATTGATGACCCATTAACCAGACTCATTAAAAAACAAAGAGAGAGGACCCAAATAAATAAGATCAGAAACAAAAGCACAGAAGGAACAACTGACACCAAGAAATAAAAAGGATTGTAAGAAAATACTATTAACAACTATATGTCAACAAGTTGGACAATGTGGATAAAATGGACAATTCCCTAGAAAAAATACAATCTTCCAAAACTAAATCAGGAGGAATCAGAAAACCTCAATAGGCCAATAGTAACTGAGGAAATAGAAGCAGTAATAATAATAAAAAAAAAAACTTCCAGCAAACAAAAGGCCTGGTCCAGATGGCTTCACAGTGTAGTTTTACCAAACATTCAAAGAACTTACACCTACCCTCCTCAAACTATTCCAAAAAATCCAGGAGGAAGGAACACTTCCCACCTCTTTTTATGAAGCCAACATTTCCCTAATTCCATAACCAGATAAAGACAGTACAAAGAAAGAGAATCACAGGCGAATATCCTTGATAAACATAGATGCTAAAATCCTCAACAAAATATTAGCAAATGGGATCCAGCAATATATTTAAAAAATCATACACTATGACCAAGTGGGATTTATTCTGGGGATGCAAAGCTGGTACAATATTCACAAACCAATAAATGCAATATATTACATACAGACAAAAATCACATGATCATATCAAAATATGTAGAAAAAGCATTAGACAAAATCAAACACCCATTTTTTAATATATATTTTTAATTTATTTCAGAGAGGAAGGGAGAGGAAGAATGAAACCTAGGTGTGTGTAATGACTGGGAATTGAAATATGACCTCCTGGTTCATAGTTAGATGCTCAAACACTGAACCATGCCAAGTGGATGTAACACTCATTTTTTATAAAAACTTTCAGTAAAGTGGAAATAGAAGGATCATACCTCAACATAATAAAGGTCATATATGACAAACCTATAGCAACATCATACTCAATGGGCAAAAATTAAAAGCATTTTCCCTAAGAACAGGAAGAAAACAGGGATACCTGCTTTCACCAGTCTTGTTCAACATAGTACTCTAAGCCCTACCCACAGCAATCGGACAAGAGAAAAACACATAAAAGACATCCAAATTGGAAATGAGGAAGTAAAACTGTAAGTATTCACAGATGACATGATATTGTACATAGGAAACCTTAAAGACTTCACAAGAAAACTACTAGATTTAATAAAGGAATTCAGCAATGTAGCAGGATGCAAAATTAACACCCAGAAATTGATGGCATTTTTATACAACGTTTTATGAATCCTCAGAAGGAAAATCTAAACAAAAATACCAACGCAACAAAAATGATTAGGATACTTAGAAATAAATTCAACCAAGGAGATAGAAGACTTGAACTTGGAAACTACAGGACATTGAAAAAAGGGATAGAAGAAGTTATAAACAAGTGGAAGAATATACCGTGTATTGGTAGAATTAATATCATTAAAATGTCCATACTACCCAAAGCAATCTATAGATTCAATGCAATGCCTATTAAAATACCAATGGCATATTTCACAGATCTATAACAAATACTCTGAAGATTTATATGGAACCAAAAAAGACCCCAAATAGCTGTAGCAATCTTGAGAAAGAAGAACAAAGTTGGAGGAATCTCAATACCAGATATCATATTATGCTACAAAGCCCCTATAATCAAAACAGCCTTGTACTGGCACAAGAACAGGCATATAGGTCAATGGAATAGAACAGAGATCCTAGAAATTGACCCAAGCCATTACACTCAATTAATATTTGACAAAGGAAGCAAGAGCATACAATAGATTCAAGATAGTTTCTTCAGTAAATGCTGTTGGGAAAATTGGACAGATACATGCAAAAAAATTACACTAAAC